CTCTAGCATTGAGCCACATTCCCAGCCTTTTCTATTGAGATAGGTTACTGCTAAGTTGACCAGGCTGGCCTTGCCTTTAGGAGGCTGATGCCTCAGTCTTCCAGGTAGATGGGATTACAACATGCACTCATGCTTGGCAGGTATGGGTATTTGGAGAGCTCCAAGGATCTCAAAGATGTGCCACCACTCTAAGCAGGCTCGTTATTGTCTGCAGTATTGATTTCCCTGTGCCTACTCAGCTCTCACTCACCAGGGTATAAGTTTCTTGTCCCTTCCTTCACAACCATCCCAGGTTCCTTCCCTTCTTCATCCAATAAGGTAATCATATCTGGTTTAGAAATAGAAGCTCCTGCTTAAAAGGAAAATGTAACATGAAATTATAAACCTGACAGTCCTTCTACTCAGATTTGGTTAAATTTACAATTAATCACAAGTCAAAATGGTACCTTATAAAGACTAAGTGCAATTAAATGCAAGGGAGCTGAGAACTCTCATTTTAGGTGACCTCAAGACCATACATAAGGAATAAAACCTAAGTGACTAAGAACAGGTTTTAATATAATTCAAGTTCACAAAGGCTCTGTTGAGAAGCAATATTTTGCAGTGATTAAGTACACTGACTCTGGATCCAAACTGCCTGGTTTTAAATCCTGCTTCTGTTACTCTGTTACCTCACACAGATACTAATCTTTTATGCCCAAGTTCTATCTAAAAGAAGGTTACTAATAAATAAGAAGTACCTGTGGAGTATTTAACAATGAATAATGGTCAGGACAGTGTCGAAGCACAATATATACAATGGTATGTTCATATACATATGTATATTAACTATTAATTTTTACTGCTTTCTTTCTGAGACAGTAATGAAGAGGCTTATTTAGTTTTTTAAGAGGCTTTTAAAAACATTCTCAGATCCTTTTGGGGACAGTCAATGTTAAACACAAAGTTCTTACATTTTGGGGGGATTTTTTGTTTGTTTTTCTAGACAAGGACTCAATGTACTTCAGGCTAGCTTTGAACTATAGTCCAGGCTAGTCTTGAACTTAAGGGGTGATCCTCCTGCCTCAGCCTCCCAAGTTCTGGGATCACAGGTATGTGTCAACCTGACTAGGTTTTTAACTTTCATAAAACTGCGTATGTCTGCTACAGGAAATAAAAAAGTATTTACTTGGATTTTAAATGAAGTTTATAGATCATCCATATATATATGCTTTACAAACTCCTTTAATTTACAAACTCCTTTCTTTTTTTTAATCTCTTGATTTTAGAGAAACTCAGTAGCTCAGTGTGTAAGTATTCTCATTTTAAGAGAGTTAGAAAGGAATATAAAGTATATGTGTCAATTCTGAGCACAAGTACAATATGCTATTTAGTTTCTTAAACAATACTTGTACCACATTCAAACCCAGCCCCTTGGATACTAAGGAAAACAGGAATTACAAAATCTGAAGGAAATGTGAAGGATACTATAGGCTAAAAATGTTTAAGTGGTGGAACCTATTTACAGTCTAACAAAGCCTAGCCCTTCCT